ACAATGTCGCCGTTTGGTTTTTCTTACTCTTGTTGGCTTCATATCCGTATTTACATTTTTGCGAAAGTCTATTGCGTTTTTTCACAAACCTCGCGCAAACCATCGATATACACAAACTTTAACACCAAAAAACGTGCTTGAAATTTGTGATTTTCGGAAAGGAAAAAAATACTTAATGCAAAAAATAGAAATACGGATTTAAACTTCATGACCTTTGCTTCAAAACAGTGTAAAGTTTTTGATCGCATGAATGACTGTAGAGATGACAATTAAAATTTTATTCACGTTAGTTAAATTATCAGCCCCGCTGATTTTCAGAATCACGTGACGCTAAAACAAACACAATGTTCACAAAATATTAATAATAGGAAAGTACAAGTCAAGAGCTTTCCAAACATATATAGATTGTATGGTTTCTTGTAAAATTTATTCCGATTATAGGTGTTTACATTTTTCTTGCAAAAAAACTATCCTGCTACCTTAAGCAGATGTGGGAGTTGCATGAGATACTATGGGACAGCAGCCATGATTGGTGTTCCTTGTCACAATACATACTTAAATCACCACACAAGTTCATTAGGAATTTTCTTGATGTACTTGTTCAAGTGGCGGATAATAATTCTCCAATATGACCATGTGGGTGGTGACGTACATGAGGATGATGACCATGTTTCCACTGCAGATGTGAGGGTCATAGAAAACCCCAATCAAATATTGGATATATACATATTTGATATCTATTACTCTCTGTACTAGTTACATATTTTTTTTAAATTAATCAACGCCTGGAACAGTACTCACCGATCCTCTCAAAGTGGCGAAAAGTTGCTTTAGTATAGTCTCAGACCACTGAGGTATAGTCAAACACGTTGAACACCACTGAACGCAGCCATCTTTGAAAGGGCGCCCTCTTCTTTACGTCTGTTTAAACTTTCGTTTCATGTACGAGTAACACATGTGGTCACCGCGTTATTTTTGACTATCCACGTCGAAATAGATATTCATACCACTAATAAATTATTATATTATTATTATTATTTAAATAACTGTTGTTGTTTTTTAAATAAAGCAAAATTAAATCATTTCATACACATCTTACCCATAATGCTCCCTCAATACAATATGGCGGCGTCCATGCGTAAAACATGTTTTTGCACCTTTCCATAAAAAACTTGGAAAACTCCAAGTTTTCTTCAACAACTTAGTATGTACGATGGTTTATTTAACAAGGCTTCTGTATAGGCGATCGTCTGAACACATTCGAGTATGACATTCCTTCTTTTTTTTTTTCAATACATATCTTATTATACATTAGCATGGACTGTGTGTTGGTGATGGGACGTTTACTCGTAGTATCACAATAGTGTACCAACAGACGATCCTCTCCGTAGAGATATTGTCCATTGCCCCACCCCACCCCGAGCAACACATCACTATACGTAGGGCTAGTTTTGCACAAACGGCCGTTTTCACTATTTTGTATACATCTGAAGGCAGTGTCACTGACCATAGACCCTCTTTTAGAGGGTCTATGCACTGACTTATAATTTCTGATTCATCCACCTGAGTGGTTCCATTTGGGTGAAATTTAATAATCTGTCCACCAGTTATTTGCAACCCCAATCTGATTTATTGTACTGTGTTTTTTATTTATTTTTTATTTTCTATATATATTTTATTATTATTTATTTTTATTGTAACTATCGCAACATATTTCACGTTTAGCAAAACTTAATTTTTTTTTTTTAAATATATATACCGGTATATACAAAATATAAGCATATTATTTTAATAACACTCCAGCCTACAAAACATAACTTTTTCATGGATCATGCCGGATTGTTATAAGGATGTAGTCAGATTTTACTAACCACATTTCCCTGGTGTGTTATGCGTGGAGAAAACGCATTATATCAATTTACGAAAAATAGATTGTTGATTATTAGTTCACGCATACATTGAACACAATTCAAGATAGACATGAAGTGCAGCATTTCTAAACTTTTAATTAATATTCTTTTAACAATTATGTTATCTTACAAACTTACGTTGGAAGCAGCTTTCGTCCCCTCTTACTGTGCTTGCTATTATTACCCTGTGTTGGTTTGCCATTGCAATCTGCATACTGTAAACACATTATTCGTTCACTGAATTTTTAATTTAACTAGTTTCACTGATAAGTAAAATCAGCTAAATTAAATCTGTGTAAAATTGCTTAAATATCAACAAATAGTGAAAATAAATGGTTTTACAGTATCCTGTTAAATCCTAGCCTCGTAGTTGAGTTGTTGTGAAATGCATTATTTCATTATGTGGTCCCACATAATTTTCAAAATAATTAAATCAGTCTATAACTCTACACATCACAGGATGCATTTAAAAAAAGATTTGGTGGATTTCAAGACACACTGCGTATCTATGTTAAGGGAGGTGCTGGTGGTATGGGACTTCCCTCGCTAGGCGGACAGGGAGGAGATGGAGGAGATGTGGTTCTAGTAACGTCGTCCAAAATGACGCTTAGAAAATTACAGATGACTGAACCGACCAAAAGATTTACTGCTTCAAATGGAGTGAATAGCAGGTATTGTACACTTTATATCAATACTTAAAGCGTTTTCTCAAAGGCGAATTTTATGAGACTATCATGTTACTTCTAGTTACTTGTATCTCTGTAGCAGGGGTTGGTGTGAATACCATTCAAGGCAAGCAAGCTTGTGATAACAAGCAACTTGTGTAAAATTGATGTCCAAGTTGGATGTTTGGTCATTTTCATTTGTGATTGGTGTAACAGTTTTCCTCATGACGTACCAATCAATTATTTATTATTATTCGTGTATTTAAGATGATGTGACTAAAAAATGAAAGTCAAAGAAGTGAAGACAAATTACATTATGGGAACCAGGGTTACAACAGATGAACAGCGCCGCTGAAATAGCATATGCCCAATGACAATTTATTTTCAATTTTCTGCTTGCAGGGAGAGGCGTTTGGCAGGAATACGAGGAGTAGATAGAATTGTTTCTGTACCTAGTGGAGTTACTGTTGTTTCAGATGATGGGCAAGTTATTGGTAAGTGCATCAGACCATTTTGGCATTAGTCCAAATTTGAACACAGTCGAGCTAAAACTCAATTACTATCTTCTCAATAAGTCCATTGTACTCAGGGCAAGGCTGTTATTGTTTTACTATGTTCAACACCATATTGTATCTATTATTACCTTTATTATATACGGTATCTAGTATTGCCCGGCACTGTTCCCTTAAATTTTTTTGAATCTTGAAAATACTGTGAAAATTTGCCCATTTTCCCCTTGAAATGTTATTTCTGCATACAAAATGCATGGAAAGTTTCTCAAAAGACAAAATTTCACTGAGAAACTATAATTGAATCTGAGAAAATTGAGCGAAAATAAGGCTTAGAGAGAACACTGTTGCCCGGCCTTGTAACGCTATAGAAAGCACACCCACTTTTCATCAGTCAGAACAAAACATTTCATTTTAAATTATATTATGTGTTTATGGTCATGCCATGGTAAAATTGTAATTACACCTATTAGGCATGTGATGAAACCTTTAAGAACTGGGAACGGATTTTGCAGCCCTTGATAGTACTGCTAACACACCCTTGCAATCTTGGGCGCTTCCACTACGCAACCTTGGGCCACAAAATCTGTATCCAACCCAATAAAAATTAATAGTATACTATACCTATTATACTTATTTTTCTTTACATTTAAATGTTTGTGGTTGTCTATTTGTTACACTTTGTTTTTGTTTTGTTTTTTGTTACTTTATTGTATTTTCAACCAAGATATCACCCTGGGATACAGTTTCAATGAAGATTATTATTATTATTATTAATAGTGTACTATACTTAATTATGTCAATAATCCTCACTTGTAGCTGATCTTGATCAACCCGGAAAACAAGTTGTTGTAGCAAAAGGTGGAAAAGGAGGGTGTGCTGCCACTGAATGGAATGGCCAGAAAGGAGAAAGAAAATCTGTCAAACTTGACCTAAAGCTAATTGCTGACATTGGACTTGTTGGGTAGGTCATTGGCAGAATGTGAAAACCAAACCTATTGCATACAATAGAGTTATTTTATTTAGCCAAACACATATGTTGTATTGTCAGCAAAACTTCATTGACAGCCCTTTTAATTTTAAGTAACTTGCCCAAAAATCAAATTTGAAAGTTTGGATTTGGAAGTTTATACTAATAAAAACCAGATGCATTGTACTGTTTATTGAGTATTTTACAACAAATTCCGTATTGTTTGCTGTTACAATTTTGCTTCCCAATTTTGCTCACAACTAACCTAGGGCGTGCAAATGTTAGGTAATGTTGGATGCTGTGGTAACATGAATAAAATCATGTAAACTTTGATAGGTGGGATCTAAGTACCTTGTGAACATTTCCTTTTCCTCCAGGGATTGTGTAAGAGTCAATAAGTAAATAAAAATAAATAAAATGCCTATTCTAGAAACATCTGAAGAGTGTGGTGTACATCTCAGATACATCTTAATTGAAACTGCTTCACACTGAATATTTATTTTGTAATATCATAAACCCCAGTTTGGTCATCAGATAGAGAATACCACATGCAATTTATTGACTTGATGACACCATAAGACACTGAAAACTCAATCACAAGCGAAGCCACGGAACTGCTTGATGGTGTTGGCTACTGACAAGGCAGTTCACGCTTTAAGCTACTGAGCATGTTACTGCACATATATGCAATGCATTGTGGGAGAGATCAAAATTAACAATATTAGGATTCATATCAATAACAATATTCAACTCTTTCATTCATGTCACATTTCACCATGGCATGGCAGACTCATATTTTTTAAATTATCGGTATTCTAATGGTATTAATAATATGTACACAAAAACTGTGAATATATTAATTTTCATTTCAACCCTAACCTTCTTGAGGTCAGTGGATTGACTGGGCTGGCATAGCACATTAAACTACCATAATACCATCATGTTAGAAAGATGGTCTAGTTTCCTCTTTTATTCACAGCTATCCTCGGGGGCGGAGCTACGTCACAGACGTTCTACGTTTCTAAGACGCGCACCACTGTACCATGTATTTCTATGGGCTTTGTGCGCGCTGCTGTGGAACGCCGGTGGAGCCGGTGAAAACTCGAGAAAACAACACAAACTCAACTTTGAAGTAATCCTGAACAACCAAATTTATATATGACACACACGTAGGGCTAATCTTGTTACACTGTTCATGGAACTCTCAACAACCATTGCAAAGTACCGTTTTCTGCGAGTTTTTGGTCTTTGTTTTCACCGCGAGGGTTGCCAGGCGGTAGAAAATGCCCGGATGTCCGCCCCCTAAGATTTTTGTTTTTCCAATGTTAGTGCACCCTCATTGGCAAGTACAGGAAATTTAATTGCTTATTGTATGAATTAGGTTTCCAAATGCCGGGAAATCCACTCTATTGGGAGGACTATCTAGAACCAAACCAAAGATTGCTGACTATCCATGTAAGTGTCAGTGGAATGAGTAGTGTTGTGTTAACTGGAATTATAAAAATAGTGTAGATATATTTTTGGTGTGAATTCCTCTTAGGTTTTATACTGTGTACTCTTCTTACCAACATTGTTGTACTGAATATGATAACACTTGTAGAAACTGTGGTTACAGATGCCATTTTGAATGAATAACATTATTATCACATGGCAAACACATGTTTGAAACTTGCTGCTGAACAGTTTAACAGTGGTGAGATTTTGAACATCTTTCGTTTGGTTTGTTTGGTCCTAATATTCACACTACTACAATGAGTCCTTGAAATCAACCTGTTGTCATCACACATTCTCTTGATCACAATAGGTATGCATACTTCTCTTTATGCCACAATTGTGTATCATTCACCAACATTTGCACTGTGGCTACAACAACAACATCTTCTAATGTCCAAATCAATTGTTTTCAGTTACAACGGTAAAGCCACAAATTGGTATTATTCATTATGACGACAATAGACAGGTAAGGGTTATCTTGATGTATATGTATGTAATATGAGGTTATTAAGAGAATACCTCAAAGTATGCACAAAGACAGTACCGTGGAAGTATCAATCAATGCGCAGCGGAGGTCGATGCGACAGTGCAGCGTACTGTCTGAGTGCATACTTTGAGGTATCCTGGTAATAACCTTATTATTATACATCTTCCTTCCAAGGATACATCATAGGAATTTAGAAAAGAATCAGCAAACACTGTAACTTATGGCGTTACGGCGACAGATGTATAATAATAGTGTTTATTACAAGTTCTTAATAGTGCATGAAAGATATAAAATACAAACAATATATGTTGATGATAAAGATATTTTTGACCTCAACTGCCCTAGTTTGCTGTGATGAGTTGAGTGGTTTTTCGAAAAATAATGTTAGTTTGAGCATAGGATCATGATCGCAAGAACCCTTGTGTCAATTGGAAAAAAAAAACACTCAAAGTTTGGAGGAGCCAAATGAAATGGTTTTCATTTATAGGTGAACACCTGATGGAATTCCACTGTATTCTGTACTAGTGTTGTATTTGTCCTATTAGTAGGGTGAAATTTAGTGATTTTTAAATAATTCTGTGTACAGCAAATGCTATTTTGGATTTATATGTGATTCTATAGATGTGCTTCTAATAGAGCAAATACAGTAATTTTTTTTCATAGAATCTCAGTTTAATGATTTTATTTGATGAAGATATCTCACAATTTGATATTGCAGATCAGCATGGCAGACTTGCCTGGATTGGTAGAGGGCGCTCATCTCAATATTGGAATGGGACACATGTTTTTGAAGCATGTGGAAAGAACAAAATTATTACTGTTCATAATTGATGTGCATGGATTCCAGTTATCTCCAAAATATCTCCACAGGACAGCGTTTGAAACACTCTCTCTACTTAATAGGGTAAGGGGACAATGACGTAAGGAGAATCAAGAAGCATTTCATAACGATAAATTATAATATGTCACCTTACAATTCATTACATGCTAAAAAAAATATGATTAAAGGGCAGTGGTTGTCACACTGCATATGTGCAAGATTTGTATTGATAAATCGTTTTTCCCACAATCCAATGCGCTCTTCTGGAAATCACAAGTATGCATTTTGACCTGGGCACAACTTGCACTAATTATCACCGGTGACTTTTTCATTATCTTTCAATCATCAAAGAAATTACCTAATTAAAGTTTGATAACGTCTAAGTTTGTACTCAATGATCTGCACAAAAGTCAAAGTTGCCATTTTTGTTTACGAGACCCATATCTTGTGCATGTGTGTCGCGACAATCAGTGCCCTTTATTAATATGATCACCTCAGTGACATGTTCTATAAATCTAATTTTTTAGCTTCGCTGTTGACTTTGTCGAACGGAGCTTATCATATGAGTGATTGTCCGTCATCGTCCGTGTCAATGTTTTACTTTTTCGACTTCTTCTTGAAAACTACAAGCCTGAATGCTTTGATACTTGGTGTATATGTACCTTGGGTAGACCTCTCTCAGATTTGTTCATTTCATAATGATATCTTCAATTCTCTAATTTTGGTGAAAATTTTTAGTAATTTTGGTAAAAAGTGATATTTTCGACTTCTTGTTGAAAACCGCAAGTCCAATTGCTTTGATATTACATATATAGATACTACATGTGGACCTCTCTCAGATTTGTTCATTTCATAATGATATCTTCAATTCTCAAATTTTGGTGAATGTTTTTGTAATTTTTGGTAAAAAGTGATATTTTCAGTCCAATTGCTTTGATATTACATATATAGGTACTACATGTGGACCTCTCTCAGATTTGTTCATTTTGTAATGATATCTTCAATTCTCTAATTTTGGTGAATATTTTAAATTTGTAATTTTTGGTAAAAAGTGATATTTTCGACTTGTTGAAAACTGCAAGTCCAATTGCTTTGATATTACATATATATTTACTACATGTGGACCTCTCTCAGATTTGTTCATTTTGTAATGATACATGTATCTTTAATTTTCTAATTTTGGTGAATGTTTTTGTAATTTTTGGTAAAAAGTGATATTTTCAGTCCAATTGCTTTGATATTACATATATAGGTACTACATGTGGACCTCTCTCAGATTTGTTCATTTTGTAATGATATCTTCAATTCTCTAATTTTGGTGAATATTTTAAATTTGTAATTTTTGGTAAAAAGTGATATTTTCGACTTCTTGTTGAAAACCGCAAGTCCAATTGCTTTGATATTACATATATATGTACTACATGTGGACCTCTCTCAGATTTGTTCATTTTGTAATGATATCTTTAATTTTCTAATTTTGGTGAATATTTTTGTCATTTTTGGTAAAAGTGATATTTTCGACTTCTTGTTGAAAACCGCAAGTCCAATTGCTTTGATATTACATATATAGGTACTACATGTGGACCTCTCTCAGATTTGTTCATTTTCTAATGATATCTTCTGTTCTTTAATTGCCATTAGCATTGCTAACAGCGGAGCTATCTCAGCCGACAGGCTGCTTGTTTCTATTTCATCTAGGAACTAGAATTATACAAACCAGAGTTAATTTCAAAACCAGCAATATTAGCCATTAATAAATTGGACACTGAAGAGTCTCAGGAAAAACTGCAGCCTTTATTAGAAAAACTCCAACAATGTGGTAAGTTCAGGTATTTCATGTTATATTACACTACAGTACATTGCATACTACCGGATTCTGTCGTAAATTCGCCCATCCGAAAAATCGCCCTGGGCGGTTTCACAGCTGGTGGGCCCTTTATTTGGGGTTCAAATTTTCAAATATTTTTAGGGGGCTTATATTTTCATTGAAAAATCCACCTACGCCGACTTTCAACACTGGCAGTTGGACCACCCAAAACGAAAGAAACTAAAATTGTATACATTTTTTTCTAGCTGGATTAATAAGTAGACAGCACATCTTTCTCCAATAAAATCACATTAACGAACATCGTGCGTCAAATACAATTATTTTGTTTCATTTTATTAGTAACGAAAGTATATTCTAAAAGAAGTTTCAAATAACAACGAACACAACTGCATTGCTTAGTAGCGAATGATGATCATGGTAGCGCTATCCGGTCATGCTGCGTTTTACAATTGTTGATTATTACCTAGTAATGATTATAATAACGTGCAAAAAATAAATTCGTTGAATTGTTATGAAATGCAAATAAATTTCAACTTATTTCATCGTAAGCGAATGATTCCGATCGCATTTTCAACGCTCGATGCTGTAGAAATGAATATCCGCCATGTTTTGACCTGACCTGACAGGTCAAATCGATAATTAACCAATAAAAACGATAGATGATGCCAACGTGTTCAAATTACCATAACAAATTTAAATATGTTAATGTTATTGAACCCAGCATGGAAGAGATTTGCCGATGTTGTTGTACAATCTTTTGGCTTGGATTTTAATGGGAAAGCGGCATGATTTGTTTTTAAATAAAAAAATAGTTGTTTTCAAAAGATAAACTGAGCATTTGAAGAATAATTGAACATTATTTACAGCGATAACAACTCATTGTCGAAACGAAGCTAACCCGATCACGCTAGTCGCAATACACATCAATACTCTTGATGTGGCTACGGCGAAACTTTTAGGCATCAGAAAAGATTAAAATAGCAACTTAAATAACTGTCGAAAAATCGCCCTGGGCGGTATCTTGGTCCCAATTTTTTTTTAAAAACCCAAACTGCCGTTTAACGGCCCTGGGCGAATTTATGGCAGAATCCGGTATGAGGTTATTACGAGGATACCTCAAAGTATGCAAGAAGACGGTACAGCTGAGTATCGGCTGACACGCAGCGGAGGTTAATGTGCAGCGTGCTGTCTGAGTGCACACTTTGAGGTATTCTCGTAATAACCTTATTATACATCTTTTCGTTCCAATGATACACCATGGAAATGCCGAAATTCAAAATGTTTAGAACAGAATCAGTGAACTTCTTTGTGTGGAGTCCGGTCAAACCCTGGTGGTAGCCATGTTTGTTTTTATTATTAGAGGACGCTTGCGCGCATAATCATCCCATATTTGGAATTCGCATTTCCTTGTATGGTAGGATGAAAATTACCCGTAAAATATCGCAAAATTACGGCACACTGTAACTTACGGTGGCGTTACGGTGACAGATGTATAATAATGTGATGTACACTGTGTTGCATTACATCACTCGTGTAACATTACTGACACTGTAATATTATATTGCTTAGTAATATTACAAACCATTAAATCACTCTTACATTGCATTACATTATTGTAGTCTGAATACCCTGGGGAATATGAAATCAGTTCTAATTATTCGGACAGCTGCTGCACATTGCTTTGACTTTAATTATGATTCTATGATTGACTGTAGTTGATGACAGATGCTCCTCACAATAACATGCACATTATCACAAGGGTTCAGTTCTAGTGTGATAGACTGAAATAATTATTCAAACCAGTCTGTGTAGAATTAGAACTTGTACTTACATACTTGTCTGAAAACAACTACCAGTACATGTAGTAACCACCTCCTCACATTTTGATACACTCCTTCTAGGTATACTCGGTGCATGTTTTTGTCAAGAACTTTTGGCGAAGTTGAATAACAGGATACTTTCTTGCCTTAAATAATGTCACATAATCCTTTTTCTGGCTCACAGCATACAATTTTTTGACTGAGTGGACATAATATTTATGATAATAGTGGAATTGTCTAAAAATTGAGTGATTTTTTTTTTTTTAAATATTATAATCCGGGTTAATAATTTGTGAAAGTTGACTCAAAGATCTGAGATTTATTGCGGTTCAAGGTTCAGAGGATTGTAATCAGATAGCTCTCTTTCAATGAATAATATGTTGTTTGTTATTTTATTAGGTGATTATTCCGATCTTCCTCAAGATATAGCACCATCAATGCCAATTAAATTTAAAGAAATTCTTCAAATATCTGCTAAAGAATCAACCGGACTTGAACCGCTGAAAACGAGAATCCGGGAACTGTTAGACAAGGAAGCAGATGAGGAAAGGGAAAATGATAGACAAGAACTGTTACAATCGAAAGCAAAAGAGAAAATATAGAATGTTGAGCAGACAAGCCTGTATAAATACCCTTTATACTTCTGGAGTGCACTCTTATGTGTGGTGAACCTGGTGTTAAAAGCTCTCCTTTATAGAGCCCTATTCTACAGGTTGCACGAATACATGCCTACATGTAAATAGACATGCAGGATATGCGGCTACAATTTTAAAGACGATGTAGAGGAAATTAGATGATGGCTAAATCTCTTACTCTTATGGTTAGCAGTTTGGCTAAAATATTTTACTGGAGTGGGACACAACAGTCACTTACAATTCAAGGCACATATACCAGAACACACAAAACTTGTTATCATATTTTTTATTAAAGTTAATGTATTGATAGTGATATGAATATGTGTGACTATTAATTGGAGTTGTATGTAAATTTAAAGAATTTAGTAATTCCAACCAACAATTCATTGTGAATCAATAAAGCACAGCAATGAAAATGTACTTATACTAGTCTACATCCACATCCATTGTGTTAGTGACCACTTTCAGACAGTCCAGAGGCATAAGCAACTCGTGTATAAAAACTCCTTTCAGTAGATTTGCCTATGTTTAAGAGACCAAAATGATAATTAACATTACTTATTTGATTTTGTTGCAACAGTACCTCATTATTTTTTCGACATGACAGATGTACGTGTTGGCAATCCATGAAAAAAAAAAAAATAATCCAAACTCCACCCGTGTATAAAGACCATTTTAATGAAGTCCTTTGGATGGTTGGTAAAAGCTAGTGCTAATAATTATATACTGCTAGTCTTACTTGACTCCAGCATTTGACAATTTTTAATATCAAATTTATACAACTTCAAAAATAATCTGGCTCAGTATGCACATCCTGGCACCAACACCTTGCAGCACCCACCAGTCGACTATTCAAAAACATGGCAGTAATTAAATATATAAAATACCACAATATATCAATTATTTATATAAAAAAGGCCCTCTATAGCTGCACCACAAATCCAATACTTTGTAAATGATTGCATCATTGTAGCAAGCATTTAGTGTCTAGATAGCAAAATTCATATACAAAATTAAATACAATGTATAAGCAAATAAACAAAATATCATTCCATTTATATATGCAGTTTTTTTTTTACTACAAGTATACTGACCACTTGGAAATAAAGGACAACACACTGCTAATTATTGCATAGTAACAGGACAGGGGTGTGCACAATAGGCAAGTCAAGCCAATTTAATTTATTTAAGCAAAGATCTCTGTTCGAACCCTGTTATCACACAAAAGACAGTGCAGAGTCCTTTATTTAAATTATAATACCATGAACTATTGAAAAATTTAAATATACATGGGAGTGGTATAGTGTGGTAAGCGTCTGCATGACACGTGTATTTCAGTTGAACGTAAACGTAAAATATATGAAAATGACTAGGATTTCATTACCTGAACAAATAGAAATGGGTTTGTTATTTAAACCATCTATACAAAATTGGGGATACATTCAATGTTGAGTCGCACACGTGCACTATCTTGTTTGTGCATTGACCTCGCACAGTGCATGTAATACAAATGAGAATGCAGCATTTCAATAACAGGCAGCAAATGGTATTATAATACCCTAGTGTACATTCATGATGAACAATTTAATTGAATATTTGAAACTTCACTTCCTGGTCATTTATCCGGGTAGAAGCTTAACTTGTTTTAACCCGCTTAGGTGATGGCACATCAGTAGTATCGTTGACACCTTTATCATTTGAATCTTGGTTTGGGCTTGAACACTTCGCTGGTTTGTATTTTGACCTGTCCAACCCGAGGAACTCACAGGCATTGCCAGCAAGTAGTTTGTCCTACAAGAAATATACATGTTCATCAGTATCAATGACAATGAATAATATCAAAAATATACATTTTGACTACACTACTTGGTACCCCCAAGTAAGTTGTATTTTTCCCATGAAAAATCAATTGAATAGTATTTTCAGGAGAGAACATCCAGGCATTTTCACCACCTGACAACCACAACTGATTAAATAGCAGTTGCAAACTCTCAAACAAAAGTACTTTAGGAGAGACTCTGCTGAAAAACAGAGCCCATAGAAATGCATGGTACAGTGGTGAGCGTCTTAGCAATATAGAACCGTTCTGTGATGAATAAATAGTACCAATTTTCACTTTTTTTATAAAATGATTCTTACTAAATACAAATTAGAATATGCTGCTCACAAATCAGAATTGATGACAGAGTTTCTGAATTAATACAACATAGATATATTGCAACAGTTTGACAATTCAAATTTGCTGTTGTGTCTGTACTAACCTTCAGCTCGGGAGTGAAATTTTCCATGGATTCTATCAGTTTACCTGGATGATGTTCACCAAGAGGAAATGGGTAATCACTCCCCAGCAAGACATTACCCTACAAAAGATATTGAGATAGTATTACCCCACTGTGAAAACGGGACATAACTGGAAGTAATGCTGTATATATCAAAAGTACCGATAAGCTGTGTGTGCATTCAATTGGTCTTGTAGTTCTCAGTGTCTTTAAGCATCACTTTTTGGGAATGCCTAGTGGCTGAGTGGAAGCCAAGCTGGGGTGTGTAGCTAGAAGATTTGGTGCTGTGGTAGCCAGTTTGAATCACACATATGGTCTTGTAGTTCTCAGTGTGTTTAAGCATCACTTTTTGGGGATGCCTAGTGGCTAAGAGGAAGCCAAGCTTGGGTGTGTAGCTAGAAGATTTGGTGCTGTGGTAGCCAGTTTGAATCACACATATGGTTCTTTCTCCATATATATGTATAGCATTACGTTTACTTCCTTACTTATGTAATTATAATGTTATGCAACCAATCAAGTTTCCCTTCACTCATCTATTCATGTAACTGGACTACCGGTACTTTATTGATCAGATTGATATCGTACATGCTTTATTAAGTGTTGGCCATACAGGGCAAATCTATTTTGAACAATTTGAATACAAAAACAAGACTGATATGTGATATTTGAATGCTCAAGGCATCATGATAAAGGTAATTTTAGGATGATCGAATACAAAATAAGACACCAATATCAGGGAAATATACATGCGAGACATAACAAAATGTAACTTGGCCAATATTTTTTTCATAATGTATATCCAATTATAAAGAAGACCGGATAACAATTATTTGAGTTGTTGATTATTACGAGGATGACCTCAACAGCCAATTTTGCTTCATGTACATTCCCCTCAATCTATCATGAAGCCAAGGAGATTAATAATTATAAGTGTAGTGTTATGCTTACCTCTCCAATAACATCAACCAGTAAACTCAGAGCCTTAGGATCATGTGTTAACGAATCTGTATAAAATTTTCCAAGATATTTGCGTGGATTAATTGGATTGTCCACTGCACACAGGTCCGGTCTGACGTTAAATCCATGTTCGATACGACCAATGGTATAAGGAAAAGCACCACCTGTCAGATTGGAATGATATACAGTGTTTCACTTATTGTTGCAAAAATCATTCTTTTGAAGATCATGTATAGTAAAATTAATGTATTTGTAAGCCCTGAATCTTTTTGGTATTCTATCCCACATTTCAGAAGTATATGCGTACAAACTGTCCTTCACTTTTTCATGATTATTAGTGCAAGCTCATCAACTCATGTTTGAATGGCGAGATCAAAAAGCTGTATGCGTGGAGCATGAAGGTTGGCTTCCCTTGGCTGCTACCATGGTATAGTGCTACTCAAGTTTCATTATCGTTTATATTTTGTTTGTAGCCTTTGACATACTAATATGAACTAGTATGTGCCATATACCAAATACAACAATTTACAGTATTTGCAAGATATCCAGATCAAAAGTTTCTTACAAATAGCTGAACATTAACAAGCATTTCTGTTTAGCAGATAATGGATGAGTAGCTAAACTATAACGTGCAAGAGCTGCAAGTAACATTACGTTGTGGATCTGATACCATATTACAAAGCATGACAGTATTTACCTCCATGTGCAAAACAAACTTTAAGTTTGGGAAACTCTTCAAGAACACCTCCAAATATGAGAGAACACATAGCTGTTGTGGTCTCTGCTGGCATACCAACCAACCAGGGCAACCAGTATTTAGACATTCTGCCACTTAGATCCATGTCCCAGGGATGAACAAATATCGCACAACCAACCTCCTCTGCAGCCTACAAAGTTATGTACAAATATGCATCAATAATTTGTTGTTCATCTGAAACACACAAGATTCTGTTCACACCAGGATTAAATCAGATGAAGATTTTAGCTATTGATAACCTTAGCTAATATACTGGTATAAGTACAATTAGTACTTACAGCATATATGGGTTGTAATTCTGGTGCATCAAGATTCATTTCATTGATATGGGAACCAATCTGAATACCAGGAAATCCTAACTCCTGTAAACATAAGTACATGTAGTATAACATAGTAAAATATGCATTGTTAAAAATGAATTCACTATGGCAGGGTAAGTACAAACAACACTGAACCTCGATCCAAGGTTGAGTTGTGTTTTCTAACCATGCATATACACTGGGACACTTAGCATAACAGTATTGTCTGTGGATTAGAATTTACCTGAACACATCTTTTCAGTTCCTGCACAGCCAACTCAGGTGCTTGCATAGGTACTGTTCCAAGACCTACAAATCGTGTTGGATACTTTTTGCATGTTTTTGCCAAGTCATCATTTAGAATGTGACATAGATCTAGTGTATCTTCTGGTTTGGCCCAATAACTGAACATAACAGGTACAGTAGATAGCGCTTGTACACTAACACCTAAAGATGAGATTATAAATGAGATGGTAAACAAACATCAAGTTAAAATTGTTGAGCTGAAAACATACAATATTAAAATTAAACAAATTTGAGCACTGTTAATACTATTTTCCAGATTTGTTTTTTCAATTTTGAGCAAGACCTAAGGTCAATGAAAATTGACACCTATTTAGCCAAAAAATAACAAAAAATTAGTGAAAAAAAACAACAACATAAAAATGTGCACTTATTGCACAAAATTTTTGCATGTAAAACTATGGCATTCAAAGAGTTAACAAAGTTTCTGCTGACACTGTTATACATGTTTACCATTTATATTGGCTATTTATGGAGGATTTCAGAAAACAATGTGTCAACCAATTATGTAAAACATATGCAAACACATCACTGGAAAGTGAACATCGTGAACATCAAAATCCTAATTCTCTGTATCATAAATACAGCAAGTCCATTGGATTCAGCAATAATCATGTGACTTGACTACAATGTGAAAGTTTTTGCTGGTTTTGATAAGAAAGGCTTGACAAAAAATACAGAGAGAATTACCGGTAAAAGGATTAAAAAGTGAGCTACCTTCACAGATTGAAAAGCTTGGTCCAGATTACTGGGCACCACAATTTTATAGAAACCTTATACATGGTCCTTCAGATATTTTTAACAAAAATACAACTAAGATTCATTACCAGTTTCATCCATCTCTTGTATTCTAACTTCAGGATCCCAACAATTCGGTTGAACTTCACGGAACATTTGTCCATCTTTCATCATTTTGGCTTTGTCTTTACAGTGGTGATGTAACTGAACCCATCCACCATAACCATATCTCTGGAGAAAAGAATTTTTGATAATTGATAAATGACTGTGCTAACGTCTGCGTTCAGTGACAGAATTCTATTTCCATCATGCACTGAGATTCTGCCTCAAAAGTACACAAAGGAAAATATTTGAATGTGTTGTAAACGTAATGCACAAGGTGAACATTCAAATGTGTTTAAACATTTTTTAACAGCGTTTTACATTCTATTGTTTTCGGTGTCAGATGAATAAGAATAAACACCGTAACGTTATAAGTTACAGTCTGCCGTAATTTTTCCGTATTGCACTCGGTATTTTCATCCCTTCATATTAAAAAATGCGAATTCCAAATATGGAATGATTATGTGCGTTAACGTTCTCTAATAATAAAAAGAAACATGGCTGCCCTCAAGGTTTGACTGGACCCCACACAAAGAAGTTCATTAAATCTGTTCTAAATGTTTCGGATTTCGGCATTCCCATGATGAATTCCTGGGAGAAAATGATGTATAATAATAAGGTTATTACGAGAATACTGCTGTATGTCGGCCAATACTCCCGCTGTACTGTCTTTGTGCATACTTTGAAGTATCCTCATAATATTCAAATGCTGATGTATTTTTTTGTGTTAAAATTTATGAAGATTCATGCTAGTTTGGAAGAACCTCAGAGAATTCTTGATTATTTTCCACAATTTATACCATTTTAAGTTCCATCTCAGTATATAAATAAATATAAATTTCATTTGCAATAATATTGAAATTGAAACTCGTACAATCAATATTTGATTATTGCAAAAAAACAAAAGAATTAAATGTCACAAAAACAATTAAATGTACCGCTCCTGGTTCAAATTTGAGATTGATTTGAGTTGTTACAGGAATGCTGAATGACGAATGCAGCTCCTTGGTACACAAAATCAAATCAGTCAATTTAACCAAGGTCAAATACAGCTTTTCCTAACATGGTAATGAACAGGTTCGTTGGGTCCACCATGGATAATCAGCTTCAGTGTAACTATGTGAATCAAACCATCAATTATTAATGGTATTCTAAATGTTGATGACTACTGAACAGTGAACAACTTGTATGTTGTCACTTGTGTACGGTGTGCACGGAAATAGTAATGACTACTTTTTATTTTTCTAAATCAAATCAAATTAATCAAACAGTGATTTTGCATCCAGACCCAGTCCTTTTCAATTGATGCACACATAGAATAATACATCACATATCTCTGTACATGGATATCTAAATTGGATACCCGAACATGACATAACAGCTACAGTTTCATATGCTTGTATCTAAATACAACTAAGGTAACAACAAGGGGAAATTAGTTAAAAATTCATCTGTGATACAGACATTCTTTAAAAGATACTAAACATGTTACTATAACAACCTATACATCGTCTAACGCTTGGACATTAGTGAATATGGTAATGCATATGCAGAACCAATATTTGCCTAAAGGACTACCTGACTATCAATTGTAACTATTTTTTACAATTCTGACTATCTGAAACACCATTTTAAACACTTTTAGTCATGTGAATAACCCTTGAATTACACAGGACATTCATAATGTTCTAGACTATTTATTCGCCTTTGTTTTCTAGCTATGATCAAATAACAGTGGCGTTCACGTTTACCAAGTCGGCACCTGCCAAAACTTGTGTGTGAACGGGCATGTGCCGAAAAAAAATCAATCTCGATAGATAGATAGATGCTTGGGATCGAAACTCTACACATGCAGAGATTTGCTGCCTGTACGCCCGGCACAAGCCGAAATCACGCCCTTGGTGGTAAATTTAAGAGAACATATGCTCAATCATACTAGTATGAAATGACGATGACAGGAAATGCAGATATACTAGTATATGCTCGGATGCTGTAGTTACGAATGAAATGAATGCAAACCGCCGTCAGCAACGCATATTTATGTGCTACTGCAACTGCTATTTTCTGGCAATGCTACATAGCCGTGAAAAAAATAATTGTATTTTCGAATCTTATTCGTTCATGAGTACGATGACTCGTAATAAATACCATAACAACAGATCGATATAATTTCAATATAGCAATTATTATCATCATATGCGTATTGTTTTCCATGTTTGGGTCAAATAACAGATCAACGAATAAGGGTGTCGGTCCTAAGTGGGTCTCGAATAATGTGAACGCAACTGCTGTAATGCCTTTGCAAACAATTAAAAATTTCGGCATGTGCCGAGATCCTGTATCGTGAACATAGTAAATGATAGTAAAGCAAAACCTCGCGAAGCTTAAAACCACTGTTAAATTTGTTTGAACTCTAAAATTAGCTGTCAGGTAATCCCTATCGACACTGGTAGGGCATATGCACTATCATATTCATAGTCTGATGATAGGTAGTTATAGTATAATGCTGAGTAGCTATTAAAGACTTGGCAGTCTTGTGTGTATATATATATATCCTGGTTAATCTGATGATCAACATAAGCCTTAAAAGGCAAATTGTGACAGGTGAACAGACCTCCACCCCAGGGGTAGGATCTAGAGGAAAATAAAAAAAACAATAATTGATTACCGCTTACATATCTATTTTGTGTTGAAATATTGCTTAGAAATAATTAAAAAATAACATCTAAAATGTCACTACTAGAATTTACCCATGGTAGGAGAAAAATCTATATGTCTACTGTGAAACCATGGAACTAAAAACCAACCCACATTGAGCCCATGGGGTGACATTTTTGAGCATTTCTTTAAATGATATCTAATCAATCTTTCGTTAAAAACTATAGTAAGTAATTATTTTATGTTTGTTTTTTCAGCTAGGTCCTACCAGTACCACAGGATTTCGTAAACTTGCTACGTCTTTGTTACCGGTATTTTCTGTATGGGCTTCGCTAATGTTACGTCCCAGTAACATGGACCATGCCCATGCACATGCACAGACATAGAAAGGTTACGAGACACAGTGGCTCCTACCTGCCATACTTAGATCACCAGGCCCCTTCGTAAACCCCCAGGGAAAAAAACAACCGAATTACCACGAAACTGCTACAATAAACACACCTCTTTCAAGTCCGGCCATCTCTCTGGCAGAATATGATTGTGAATATCAATTTTCATAGTCACGGTCTAACAAAAAATCACTCTGGCATAGAACGTTCACGTCCGTAAATTTGACCGTCTGCCAGGATCGGGTTGTTGTCCCAGGTGACGTAGTGAATCAAGCCCGAACCGAGAACACAGATATATATTGGTCGATTTCTGGCTTCTATTCGCTCCACGTAGTTTCTCGCACTTGGTCAAAAGATAAACTTGTCGACACGTATCAGGTTTATGATGACATTTCTGATAAAAACAACATACGTCACAGTTGTGGAGTCTAAAACTTGCGGAGACCAATTCCGGAAATGACGTACTCGTAACCTTGAGTGAAGATCGACCTGTAAAGATTGTATGCTAATTTATGACCTCTCAACCGGTATTGACAGGGAGAGCTTGCTCACATTTTATATACCACGTTTATACAACTGTACAAAACATCTTTAAATTGTAAAAAAAAACAAAAACAAAATTGAATAGTTTTCACATGACGTCATTGCAACCTATCTAATAGCTACTGTTTAGCAATTTGGCAACACCCTAAAAGAGATTTAAGATTTGGCCAATTTACTTGTAAAGAAATGCGTGTTTTGGCTAATAAAAAAATAATATACTAATCGTACCTACCCAACCATTTGCCATAATCCCAATGACAAGACACGTTTAGGAAATAATTGGCTATCTCTTTTTAGGGATTCCCACTATTTACGTCAGGAATCATGATTTCCGCTATGGGGCAGGCAATTAGAAATTCAAAGAGAAATTCCGTACAAATGATAGTCATCATTAAGACGAGAGAATAGCACACATATGAGCAGAACTATCAAAATAGACGTATAACTGTTTTAAATTAAGTAAGGAAAATTTCTTTCTTTATTGTAAACCTTTTTGAAGGGTTGTAATATCTTCATCTGTACGCAACACTTTATTTTTTCAAAATGGAATTATTTTGTCCATGTTTATTTCATTTATGCACGAAATGTGTGATAATGTAGTATTGTGATAATAATATAGCAGGAAGACGTATCGTCGTGGGATGTTCTTTTAACAATGTGCCATCCATATGTACATATGCCAATTAATAGGTGTACCATTAACAAACATTGACTATTGGTAATATCTACGGTACTTCCGAAGTGCTTGTGATAACATACAATAATATAACATACAAGGCACGCATAGTAGTGACCAGCTAAACTACCTGTGATTTAAAATCATCGACTACATTTTAATCAAATTGACTGCTGCAATCAATTAAATAAAACCATATCTGATGCACTGACAAACACGAGGTCATTTCAAAATTGCCTGTACATTCCCCGGTGTACATTATCGTGGGATTAACTTTGTTTTCTTTGAATAATTTGGTTTTCTGATATAGGATACTTGAAACAATCGTGCTGATTGTTACATAAATATTATCATTTAAATACAAATGCATAAGTACTAGCCTCACATTCCCTGGTTGACTTATCCATTCACGCGAATATTCACTTTTCAGGCAAGGAGTGTAATTGTGTGTTCCCGGACATCTGAGGTATGACCAACAGCAGAGTGACTTGGAAAGACTTTTAAATGTACCACCCCCTTGACCTAATTCTAACCTTAGAGGGTAAGGGGTAAGGTTACAATTAGGATTTAAATATTTTTTTATATTTAAATGCACGTTTGTCATACTTTGAAACTGCTTCAAACTTGCATTTCGAAAATGTAAAAGTTTAAAAGTTTCCAAAATGTCGACGCGCATTTAGAAAAAGATAAAGTTTTAAACAGTTTAAATGCATTAGGCACGTTCGTCATTTTTTAAAACTTAAACTATAAATTGTCGGGCTCAAAAATATCAAACGTTCATTTCAAAAATGAAAAAAAAGTGAAATATTGAGATTAAAACAAATGCCAAAACGTGCATTTCAAAAATAAATAAAATACAAAATTGTCTCGTTTTGACTATGATATCTAACCAAAAAAAAAAGGATTTTTGCATGAACGTCGACGTCGTTTCTTCGAAAAAGACAGCTTTGGAATTGACCTAAGGTGGAAAACAAAACGATTATCTGGAAAATATATATTCAAGTTCTTTACTTTTTAAATAAAGCTCCAGTATGTTATGAGTTTGAAATTTTCATTAGATATACCAGTTCTTCACTTATTCACATAATTGATACTGCATTTTGAGGATTTTTTTTCATGAATGCATTTACAGGACTATTTGTCCTGAAAATAATCCCTAATATAATTAATCTAATACATGGTAGATGTGTTTTTGGAGGTACCCATTTTTGTGGGTTTTTTTCCTTGAACCCTTTGTCCAACCAAAATGTTATTGCTGTGTTTTACCCCCTAGGCTGTAATTTATTTGTCAAGTTAAAATATGCTTACATATTGTACTTTACAACTGAGTAATTGGTACGGTACAGCTTTTCGCCTTCAGAAAGAAATTTACTGAGATGTCATTGATAAACACAAATTTTGTTTCTCCGGGTAAATTGAAATGCAATTACGTTTTGGGAATGCTATATTCGTTGTCGAATACTCACAATTGTACATGAAAAAAAAAACATGCTGGAAATTAAATGATTTTGGACTTTTTTTTATTGCCTGCTGTATTTTTCGCCGACGTCAAAGTGATGGCGATAGATTGTGACTCTTGCCGGCCATTATTGGGTGCCAGCTTCTATAGCAGGCTGTCACAGCGCACTATCTTCACATGTGTTATTATTAGTGTCCCGATGTTGTATTGTTCCACGTTGCCGGATATTATCGTCGTATGCAAGGTTGAAATGTAAGTAACAGTAACTGCAGCATCGGTCGTCGGTATTTAAATTACGGTAAGGATAGTAAACGTACATTTGTTTATTCGTAACGATCGAGTTTGAATGAATTCATTTATTTTCCTTTTCTTCTTGTGTGATTAAAAATTGACGCACTGGCTACTTTGCGTTAAATTTAGTTTTTGTTGTAGAGGGACTGTCACTGGTCGAATACACGTACATAGTGTGATCTCCAAATGTTGTTAGTTTTTTTTGATGTACTAGCTAGCATGTACACAATACTATCAACTCAGCGATTGCCTGGAAGGTGTTATTAGTGTGTCACAGAGTTCTTCCAGAGTGACATTTAATAGCAAATCAAAAATCCTATACCGATACCTTGTACGTTGTATTAGAGTGTGCGGTATCTACAACAGCTAGCTGACCGTAGAATGTAGCCAGTTACATCTAGCTAATATTAATAGTATGCTATATTATATCATAGACCCTCTAAAAAGAGGGATCCTTCTTTTAGAGGGTCTATGATTATATTATATTATATTATA